GCGGGTTGTGATAAGGTGGACTTCAATAATTTGGATTCTTGCACTTCACTTGGTGGAATTAATATTATAATATCATGATTGCAGGTATTCCCTTTGTTCTCGCAGGGCAATTAATAACTAATACACCTCATTATATTCATTTTTTCTAATCCTATCCGCTTTTACGTCATGTCAGGTAGAATTAGTTCTAATCCTACCCGAAACGACGTCAAAGCGGGTACGATTAGAAAAAATGAATATAAATGAAGATATCTGAAATCGCCAAAACTAAACAAAGACAGGGAAAACAATTATACCATTTAATTTATACCAATATTTATTTTTAATTGGTTTTTAATGGCCCTGCCAGAACAACGGGAATACCCGCAATCATGATATTATAAGGTAATAGCATAAAAAGAAGTGAATTAGCTATTGAAACGTCCCGCCCGATGAGGGTCGTTTAGTAAAATTCCCTTGGGCGCCGCTCGATTCGGGTCATTTAGTAAAATTCCCTCGGGCCTTCGGCCCTCGGGAATTTTACTAAATGACCCTCATCGAGCGGCGCCCAAGGGAATTATACTAAACGACCCTCATCGAGCGGGACGTTTTAATAGCTAATTCGCTTCTTTTTATGCTATTACTTATAAGAATGTTAGGGTTTGTAATCCAAGTGAGAATATATACATTTTAAGACCTACTGTAACCAGGGACAACTGCGAAAAATGCAGCACAAGGTCCTCTGGTAGGAATTGAACCTACGGCCCTGCGATTCCGGTGCAGCGCTCTAACCAACTGAGCTACAGAAGCCAGCTGTTGAGCTTTAATTAACCGTAAGTTCATGTATATTTAGGTAATTGGTTGTGCGGGTTGTGATAAGGTGGACTTCAATAATTTGGATCCTTGCACTTCAACTTGGTGGAATTAATATTAGAATGTTAGGGTTAGTAATCCAAGTGAGAATATATACATTTTAAGACCTAACCAGGAACGACTGCAAAAAATGCAGCACAAGGTCCTCTGGTAGGAATTGAACCTATGGCCCTGTGATTCTGGTGTAGCGCTCTAACCAACTGAGCTACAGAGGCCAGCTGTTGAGCTTTAATTAACCGTAAGTTCGTGTATATTTAGGTAATTGGGTGTGCGGGTTGTGATAAGGTAGACTTCAATAATTTGGATTCTTGCACTTCACTTGTTGGAATTAATATTAGAATGTTAGGGTTTGTAATCCAAGTGAGAATATATACATTTTAAGACCTAACTAGGAACGACTGCGAAAAATGCAGCACAAGGTCCTCTGGTAGGAATTGAACCTACAGCCCTGCGATTCCGGTGCAGCGCTCCAACCAACTGAGCTACAGAGGCCAGCTGTTGAGCTTTAACTGTAAGTTCATGTATATTTAGGTAATCGGGTGTGCGGGTTGTGATAAGGTAGACTTCAATAATTTGGATTCTTGCACTTCACTTGTTGGAATTAATATTAGAATGTTAGGGTTTGTAATCCAAGTAAGAATATATACATTTTAAGACCTAACCAGGAACGACTGCAAAAAATGCAGCACAAGGTCCTCTGGTAGGAATTGAACCTATGGCCCTGTGATTCTGGTGTAGCGCTCTAACCAACTGAGCTACAGAGGCCAGCTGTTGAGCTTTAATTAACCGTAAGTTCGTGTATATTTAGGTAATTGGGTGTGCGGGTTGTGATAAGGTAGACTTCAATAATTTGGATTCTTGCACTTCACTTGTTGGAATTAATATTAGAATGTTAGGGTTTGTAATCCAAGTGAGAATATATACATTTTAAGACCTAACCAGGAACGACTGCAAAAAATGCAGCACAAGGTCCTCTGGTAGGAATTGAACCTACGGTCCTGCGATTCCGGTGCAGCGCTCTAACCAACTGAGCTACAGAGGCCAGCTGTTGAGCTGTAACCGCAAGTTCATGTATATATAAGTAATCGGGTGTGCGGGTTGTGATAAGGTGGACTTCAATAATTTGGATTCTTGCACTTCACTTGGTGGAATTAATATTAGAATGATAGGGCTTGTAATCCAAGTGAGAATATATACATTTTAAGATCTAACCAGGAACGACTGCAAAAAAATGCAGCACAAGGTCCTCTGGTAGGAATTGAACCTACGGCCCTGCGATTCTGGTGCAGCGCTCTAACCAACTGAGCTACAGAGGCCAGCTGTTGAGCTTTAATTAACCGTAAGTTCATGTATATTTAGGTAATTGGGTGTGCGGGTTGTGATAAGGTGGACTTCAATAATTTGGATTCTTGCACTTCACTTGTTGGAATTAATATTAGAATGTTAGGGTAAACTTGTAATCCAAGTGAGAATATATACATTTTAAGACCTAACCAGGAACGACTGCAAAAAATGCAGCACAAGGTCCTCTGGTAGGAATTGAGCCTACGGCCCTACGATTCTGGTGCAGCACTCCAACCAACTGAGCTACAGAGGCCAGCTGTTGAGCTTTAACTGTAAGTTCGTGTATATTTAGGTAATCGGGTGTGCGGGTTGTGATAAGGTGGACTTCAATAATTTGGATTCTTGGACTTCACTTGTTGGAATTAACATTAGAATGTTAGGGTTTGTAATCCAAGTGAGAATATATACATTTTAAGACCTAACCAGGAACGACTGCAAAAAATGCAGCACAAGGTCCTCTGGTAGGAATTGAACCTACGGCCTGCGATTCCGGTGCAGTGCTCTAACCAAGTGAGCTACAGAGGCCAGCTGTTGAGCTTTAACCGTAAGTTCATGTATATTTAGGTAATCGGGTGTGCGGGTTGTGATAAGGTGGACTTCAATAATTTGGATTCTTGCACTCCACTTGTTGGAATTAATATTAGAATGTTAGGGTTTGTAATCCAAGTGAGAATATATACATTTTAAGACCTAACCAGGAACGACTGCAAAAAATGCAGCACAAGGTCCTCTGGTAGGAATTGAACCTATGGCCCTGTGATTCTGGTGTAGCGCTCTAACCAACTGAGCTACAGAGGCCAGCTGTTGAGCTTTAATTAACCGTAAGTTCGTGTATATTTAGGTAATTGGGTGTGCGTGTTGTGATAAGGTGGACTTCAATAATTTGGATTCTTGTACTTCACTTGTTGGAATTAATATTAGAATGTTAGGGTAAACTTGTAATCCAAGTGAGAATATATACATTTTAAGACCTAACCAGGAACGACTGCAAAAAATGCAGCACAAGGTCCTCTGGTAGGAATTGAACCTACGGCCCTGCGATTCTGGTGCAGCGCTCTAACCAACTGAGCTACAGAGGCCAGCTGTTGAGCTTTAACTGTAAGTTCGTGTATATTTAGGTAATCGGGTGTGCGGGTTGTGATAAGGTGGACTTCAATAATTTGGATTCTTGCACTTCACTTGTTGGAATTAATATTAGAATGTTAGGGTTTGTAATCCAAGTGAGAATATATACATTTTAAGACCTAACCAGGAACGACTGCAAAAAATGCAGCACAATTAAGGTCCTCTGGTAGGAATTGAACCTACGGCCCTGCGATTCTGGTGCAGCACTCTAACCAACTGAGCTACAGAGGCCAGCTGTTGAGCTTTAATTAACCGTAAGTTCATGTATATTTAGGTAATTGGGTGTGCGGGTTGTGATAAGGTGGACTTCAATAATTTGGATTCTTGCACTTCACTTGTTGGAATTAATATTAGAATGTTAGGGTAAACTTGTAGTCCAAGTGAGAATATATACATTTTAAGACCTAACCAGGAACGACTGCAAAAAATGCAGCACAAGGTCCTCTGGTAGGAATTGAACCTACGGCCCTGCGATTCTGGTGCAGCGCTCTAACCAACTGAGCTACAGAGGCCAGCTGTTGAGCTTTAACTGTAAGTTTGTGTATATTTAGGTAATCGGGTGTGCGGGTTGTGATAAGGTGGACTTCAATAATTTGGATTCTTGCACTTCACTTGGTGGAATTAAAATTAGAATGTTAGGGTTTGTAATCCAAGTGAGAATATGTACATTTGTATATTCTCACTTGGATTACAAACTATTCTCATTTGGATTACAAAATATATACACAAAATATATACATGTACCATACGTACATTTGTATATTCTCACTTGGATTACAAAATATTCTCACTAATAT